GAGGGGCCTTCAGTACGAATGTGGTCTTCAAACCGCCCACTGAGCACTCTGTTTTAAATACTCATGTATGGAGCTCCAGGGAGGAATGTCTGCTTTCCTTCTACGCCCTGTCAACCATGGGTCTCAGAATATTTCCAGAACATTCTAGGAACTACAATGTTTAACCTCATTATTAAACTTGTCAGAAACATGGATGTACCTGTGACGGAGAAGGTGTACATTGTCAACATTTCTGGGTCAAAGCAGGGCCTAAAAAGTTCCTAAAAGGTCAGGTGTGCTGTAAAATGTCACTAACAACACAGGTGAGATATGAGCAGCAGCATGTCACACATGACGGCAGGGCCAGGTGTAGGCAGTCTGCTTTGATTCAGTCACGACCCCTTATGGCACATGTCTCTGTCCCAGAGTTTCTCAGCTTTCTCCAGCTCAGAATTTTGGGGTCACATCCTGTCACTCTTAGCAAGCTTTCAATTATGGTTTGCTAAGGTATTAGATAACTCCCGTGAACTGGTCAGGTGTCTGATCAGTCCTGCCCCTCCCCGCCCTCTGCCCAGGACGCCTGGGTCAGCAGTGCTGCAGACCCTGTCGGGAGCGCATGGGCTGTCTCAGTGGGGCTGTCTTTCCAAGCCCGGGGCCCCTTCTGCCAGCACTGGCCATGAGTCTGGCCAAGACAGGCTTCGGCCTGACGCGCTTCTCCTGTTCTCCTTCCTACACACACGCACATAGAAGACCATTTCAAGGAACACATGGGAGGTCAAACACGCTTTCTGAAAAATGTTTTCCTAGGGTTGCTCTGAAGTCCAAGAATATTTTTTTTCATTTTATGTTTGGAAATAGTTAAAAGGATTATAATGAAATGCTCATGATGAAAGTGCCTGCCTTTTCTGAGCTTCAGAGGATGCTTTACTATTCCACACATAGTATTATTTTGACTCCTATGTTTTACCTAAAACAAAAGGAATTTTTAATAATAAATCCTACACAGTAGTTACAGTATCGACATTATAGTAAAATACAGCAATTAACGATGTTTTCCCCAGATACAAATTCTGAGACCTACTGCTATTTCGCCTTCTTCTTTACATAAGACCTCTCCTACATGGAAACACTGTGATGTCTCACTAGTGAGAGGAACAGAGCCTGGGGAGGCTCAGAGGTTAAGTGCAGAGATAGGAAGACGGGAGAGACGGGGACGTTGACATGAAATTGTCTCCAGATGCCAGAGAGACAAACACCATAGGCCCCAAAGACAGGTGTAGGAGGCGAGGGAGAGACAGGCCAGGGGTGCGGGGACTCGTGTTTTCTTCTTACTGTCCCTGAAGATGTTATTACAGATGTGCTTGTTTGAAAAATAACTTTCGGGATAAAACTATAAAATACATATTTTTTTAAATTTTGGACCTTTTCTCAGTGTCTCTCTGCAAGGTGACCAGCACACCCTGGGAATTCCGTTACTCAGTTCACAATAAGCTCCTGGGAGCCTTCCCACGGGCTTGAGGGACACAGCCCCGCCCACGGGGCATGTCAGCTTGGGCACGAGAGGTCTACTTCTGCCTTGAGATTACAAGCACATCACGAAATGGTGGTGTGGGTAAGTTAGCTTCTCACGCCTGCTGAGGGAAAAACGAGCTGAGAACCCAGTGGTTTTGTGAAATTCCACAGTCAGGCATTCAGACAGTTTTAGCTACTCTCAGGGCTTTCAAATGACCACGTGGAATTTGACCTCTCGTGCTTGTTCTGGAAACAGAGTGAAGCACAGTAATCCAGCTAACCCCGAGAACAGATCAGGGGGCTGGGGTTCAGGGAGCAGGAGGGAGAGGGACAGTCGTGACAACAGGCTGTATCTGTCCTGAGTTCAAGCTGAGCGGTCGGAACCCGCTTCATCCATTCTCTGAACAGCAGACAGGAAGACGACCATGAATGGTTGGCATTTCATTTCTCATGAAAGCCCAGAACAGCCAGCCCTTCCTACTGAGATAAGACTTTTCATCTGGGTAAAAATATGTACAGATTCTTAAAAGGAAACACTCGATTTCTCACTCGGAAGGGTCACTGTGCTAGACAGCATGGAGAGGACATCAGCTCCAAAAGGGCTCGAAAACCGTCAGCTTCCTGCATTCACTCATCTTTGAGCTACTGTACAAAGAACCTTTCCCAATTTTATTTTTGACCATTTTTCTTTCTTGTTTTAATGCAAAGACCTCATCCTTGATAAAACAGTATGATTACATGGATCACATGCATTTTTAAGGGTCAGTGCTGAGAAAAATATTTTGTACCCAAGACAATAAAATAATTGGTTGACATCAATTCAAATTCCACAAAGCCTGATTATATTAATATGGGGAAAGGAACATGATTTTCGTGCAATTTGTGAGAAAAGGAAGATTATGTACTTGCTTTTCTTTCCTATTAAAGACATCTGTAAGCTGCTTAAATAGACTTAGGAGCAATGTTTCTTTCTGTAGAAAAGTATTTAGCCTTTGGAGCCGTATGAATATCCACTTACTCAATGTATTTACTCAGTCAATAAATTTTTATTGAGTGTATTTTAATTGTCAGGTCTATTTTAGTTGCTAGGCTCTGGGTATTAAAAAAAGGACACTGCCCTCTCCCTCCTTATAGAATACAAACAACTCACCACAGCTCCTAATTCTGATAATTGCCAGCAAGGAACCAATGAAGTCCTCTAATAAAGACAACCTCTCTCAGACACGGTGGTCAGAGGAGACCTTTCTGAGGATGGGGTGTTTCAGATGAGACCTAAGGGACGAGGAGAGAAGCCAGCCACACCAAGCAGGGGCTCGAAACATCACCTTTTCTGGAACGAAGGTTCAAGGGACGAAATTGTCTGCAGTTTCTAAATCCTCCTGAAGAGGTCAAGAGAAAATATACTGAGATTCCACTTTCTCTGTTGGGAGTTTGTTACTTAGATATAGGACCTGCTAAGCTGATGCTCCAATTTTCTTCTATTTTCTTGGTTGCTTTACTTTTTGGGGGTCCTTTATAAATTATTTTCCACACTTCTGTTAAGTCTTTATTTCTGCTGTTTATATTTTCCAAGAGCTCTTTCTTATTTTAGGCTGTCCAGTGCTTGTTGTCCTAGTCTTGTTTCCTGGGGGCAATATCCTCTCCTGTCCCGTCTCTCCCAGGAGGTTCAGGATGCTGCTAGAAGTTTCCACCTTCCTGCAGAGCTCCCTGTATCGGTCCTTCCTTCCTCGTTTCCGTTTGATTTGCTCCCTGCCCTTCCTGTGAGCACTCTGGTGACACTTGGCTGACTATGCATCTGGTATTCGAGGGAAGGTGGGAGAGGCCGCCCAGCTCTATCACAGAGAAGCTTCAGGGGCCTTCTTGTCCTGTGACATGTCTCAGAGGTGATCTCTTCCTGTCTGGGTGCCTCTTCCTCTGGTCTTTTTAATCAATCCCTCCGTCTGGCTGACCCTGTCTCTCGTCAGAGAACAAGAACAAGTCTATGCTTTTTTCAACCCGGGTTGATAAAGAGGCAGCTACCACATGCCCGCTTGCTTTTCAGTGTCCCCATTTTGTTGCTATCAATTTTCCCATTAAAAAAATCTCCTGTCTTTTTCATGAGGTTTCAGGAGCAAGGAGAGTTCAGTGAATGTGTAAATCTACTGTCTTTATCCAGAAATTCTACGTATGCTTCAAAATGTTATTTCTTGTTATGTACCTTGTATGCTAACATATCTTTCCTTGCTTTCTGACAACGGAAAACTCAGTTCTCATGTCTCTTGACCGCTCCGTGCTGGTCAGCAGTCCTGCCCACCTCCAAATACCCTCTGCACTCTCTGGACGCTGCACGCTCGCAGTGTCCCTGCCGCCTTCTGCCCATGCCTCCTCAGGCTCTTCCCCTCCACACATCCTCCAAAGCTGGAGTCCCTTAAAGCTCTGGGCTGGGTCCCCTCCTCGCCTCACTCTATGTTCTCTCTGCAGATGCCATGATTCAAGTCCTCTGCCTACGACTGACAATTCACAGACTTCTGTCTCCAGTATGGACTTCACCTCTGAGCTCCAGACCGAGGTACCAAAGTCTGACTTGCATTTCCTTAGACATCTCAGAGGCAGCCTCGACTCTACCATCTGGAAGAGAACTTAGGCTTTTCCCTCCTCAATCATGGTCCACCTGGCAGTGCTACTAGACAGGTACACAAGCTAAAAACAAGGTTTCAGCCTGGACGCCTCTTTCTCCCATCCCCCACATCCATCCCTTCTCCAAGCTCTACTACCAGGACCTCAAATGTATTTGTACTCATTTATTTTTCTCCCTAACTCCTGCAGATACCTCCAATCTCCCTGGATCAGTGAACTAGCCACCTCACTCATCTTCCTGATTCTACCCCATGTTCTCCACCCTAATTCCAAGCTAATTCTCGCATCGTCTTTTCAAAAGACCACATGAGTTTTCACAGCTCTGCTTAAAACAGTGGCTGCTTAGTTTGTACTTAGGACACGGGCCAAAATCCTTAGGTTTGTCAACAATGTCATGAACGGCGCGTTCTGTGCCTCCCACCCCGTTTCATCACCCACCATTCTCGGGTTTTCGGACTTCAGCCTATTGACCATCGCTGTTTCCCTGAATGCCCTCCCGAGAGTCTGGTTCTTGACTAGCTAGGACTACCCTACCTCTGATCGCTCAGGGTCACTCCCTGCAGCAAGAATCAGGGATTCCAGCCCATGCTTCTCTCTGCCACATGCACACACTGTGATCGGCGTCTGCACACTTGTTTCCCGCCAGGTAACAGCTGCCTGAGTTGCTCCTATCTTGTATCCACAGCAGGAAGCACAGTACCTGACACCTGATAAACATTTTGTAATTGTATTGTGAATGAACAAAACAGCTCATTTAATATGAATGAACATAAATGATCGGTGAGAAAATCAAATGGATACTTTTGGCACATTAGAAAATAGGCATGATGTTCACGAAAAATATTTTTTAAAGGAGAGATTTTATAGAAAAATAAACACCAAAATTTCCTTACTTTTTTTGTTTTGCCCATTGCCTTCAGGATGGAAAGATTTAGGTCTTCAAGTGCTGCTAGTACATTTTCATACTCGCCCAAGTGCTGAGAAAAATATTCTGAAAAGTAAAAATATTGAAATAAATTTATGTTTGCATTTAGGTAATCGTAAAACAAGAAAACCAACCATTTATTCCATAAATGAGTAAAACACATAAAATGTCAGTTACAAATGAAAACTGGAAGGTTTTCAAATGAGAGTAAAGAGTCAGTATACTCATTTCATTTAATAATAAGAAAACCTAGATGATTGCCATTATTCTTTTTTTTTTTTTTGTAGAGGGCAGTGTCACTGGCCCTCATATGTGGGATCCGAACCAGGGCCCTCTGGCGTCCCAAGCCAGCTCTTAACCAATGCACCACTCAGCCGGCCCGCCATTATTCTTGAAGAAATGTTCTTTCCTACAAAAATGGGAAAATGTGAACCTGAGTCCACAGTCAAGCCCACCCTAACAGAACATCCTGTACTACAAAGACCCAACACTCTGTCTCTAGGAGGGCAGAGGCCAGCCCTGCGCCTGGGAACGTGTCTTCGCTACATGAGCGATCGGCAGCTGGTGTGAGCTGCTGGGAGCTGCTGTGAGTGGCCGACTAATGACCGGCGACTGATTGCCTCACCCGGGAAGAGCACAATGATCATACCAACATGGGCCAGTGAAGTGACATCTTCCACAGCTAGACTGAAGAACAAAAGGACAGCAACTTGTCTGTTCCCCTCCCCTCAATTCCCCAATAAAAATCTTTAAAAAACAAAAACAAAAAACAAACAAAACTTAAAACCTTCCAGTTTTCAGAGAAATATGGCTGCTTCAAATTGAACAGTCTCACAATGCTCCATAATTTTTTCATAACAAAGAAATATTTGCCCTCAAAAATATTTGCTTTTCCACATTCCTAGCCTTTGACTTTTGTTTCCACAAACATGAAGAAAATAAGTGAGAAGGCCCTTAAATAGGGGATTTGTAAAAATTTATCTCCTCATTTAATTACTTGTTTTTCAAGTCACATTTAAAACTCCAAAATGCTCTAGGCAGGTGTGGGACTAGGCTGTTTTTACATGTCAAGGGGTCAGCTTTGCAAAACAGTAACAGAGGGCTCTGCACAATATATTTGAAGAGAACAATAAAGTTGCATTAAACAACAATTTAAAAATACATTCAAACTGCTGGAGAATTTGCTTTTGTGAAACTCACTGTACCACTTTCATTACCAAGTCCTCTGCCACTACCAAATTAAGGAGGACCAGCTTTTTCTGCAGTGAGACGCATGCTAGAGCAAAGCTTACTGATAAAGAAATCGCTTTCATTCCAGGACATCATCTATGGCATTAATTTCAGGGTATGTGGAAATATGACAATGTTCTTCTTCATTCTAAAGCAAGGAATGGATTTGACTGGTCTTAAAGACACTTACCACATAGTTCTTCTGTGTCAAGATTGCTGAAAAGATGAAAAAACAAGTATTACTTTGGGATTTTTTTTTTTTTTTTTTTTTTTAGCTGAGCCATCCTGCTACCTGTTGGCAGCTCAGCGGCTGCTCAGCTCGGGCTGGACTCGAACTGCTATTGCTCAGAGCTCAAACTCTTGAGCGAACTCTTAACCAACTGAGCCACTCTTTATTGATGGTATTTCCTATTTAGGAAAAAATCCACGTTTTTCTTTCAAATTTAGGCTTGGACAAAGAAGTGTGCCTCTCCCTCTTTGAGGCCATACCTGTGCGCCAGGCCCCTTCAGGCTCCTCCACATCTCACTGGATTCCCTTGACAGCATGTATGGGCTTGATCTGTTCCGTGAGGCAGTGTCCTGGAGCTGGTGACAGTCAGGTCTGACTGTGTGCCAGGCCCCACCATTTACGATCTGTACAACCTTAGGCAAGTTACAGTTCTCGGCTTGTCCCTCGTGGACAGGTTGGGGAAAATCATCATCACGCCTTCCTCAGAGGAGTACTTGTGACGAGTGAATGACAGCACATGTGATGCCTTTAGCCCTGTGCCTGCCACGTAGTCAGTACCCCTGGAGTGGCAGCTCTCACTCCCAGGGACTTCTGCCTAGATAATGACACCTCGGCAGAGCAAGGGGCGGGGTCACAGTCATCTACCATGTGACAGCATCTCCTTCACCCTCAGCCATGTGGAACTACAGCCTTTGAGAGGCAGGATGGTGGAGGAGGCCTAGGCCATTCTAGGCCCAAGTGATGGTTTACGTTAGGTCAGGGCGAGGTACCACGTCTACGCGAGACTCTGTTCTTCCTATCTCGCCCTATGGCAGAGAATGTTGCACGCTCGCTTCTTTGTCAGAAGCTCAAATGAGGAGACGGCACTGTATGTCAGGACTGCCAGTCACACTGGGTTCCCAAAATGTGGTTATCCATGTTGACGACATCCTGTTACAACGCACGCTGCAAAAATGGTAAACTCATTCCTGTCCTGAAAGGTGATCTGATGAAAGACATTAAAATCAGACACCAGCTTGCCTGTGCTCAGTGTTACATTAAAGCTGGCATGCAGACAATTAGCTATCATTCTGTGGTAATTATGGATATGCCGCTTTTTGTTCGCTTAGCCCAGCTTGATCTCTGCTTCACAGAATTCAGGATGTACCAGGCGGCACTTCAGTCTAGAAAACTCGGTGGTCTCCCAGCAATTCCAAGAAGATGCAAGCATTGCTTTGCTGGCTTTTAATAATCACTCAGGGGGAAATCTACTTTAAAAATCAAGAACAGAGATGACACTCAAGAAAAATTACCTGCAGTTTGGAGCCAAAACCATTGCTCATTTTGGAAAATTTTGTCTAGAGCTTTTACCAGACTAATTTTAATTTTTCATAAAGGCAAAAAAAAAAAGGAAAAATGAAAGTCTCAAGAAAATCCAAAAATAAAAATCAAGCTAAGTGAAAGCAGTTTTACTTCAAATTTTTTATTGCCAAATATTACTTGAAAATTGCATAGTTTTCACTTAACTATATAGTACTGTACCTTGTGGTTTAAAAGCAAATTTTTTCAATTAATGTTACCTAGTAATTGTCTACTTGCACAAAACACTATAATCAATGGGAGAGAAATCAGTGCCTGCTTTCAATAAGCTTTATTATTTTTTTGGAAGAACAAAGATAAACACCTGCAGAAATGAAATTGCACTTGAAGCAGCATGTTGACAAGTTTGAACTGATGACAATCAAAACAAATTGTAAGTATTGTGATTATGCCTGGTAGGAGTTTTAAAAATATGATTCAAAGTCTCCTCTTCTGCTTCTACACAGCACTTGCCATTACTTCTTCTACTCCCAGGCGACTACGGGGAGCAGTGACGAGGCCGACCACAGACAGGAGCGGGCGGGGCTAACTTTATGTGCCAGTGTGGTTGGTCCACGTGCCCAGATAAGTTGTCACACATTATTCTGAATGTTTCTGTGAGAGTGTTTTTGGATGAGATTGACATTTAAATGGGTGATCTGTGAGTCAAACAGATCACCCTCCATGGTGTGCGACTCATCCGATCAGTTGAAGGTCTGAACAGAGAAAAGACTGCCCTCCCCGGAGCGACACGGGGCTCTCCAGCAGATGGACTTGGACTGCACTGCCAGCCCCTGGGTCTCCAGCCTGCCAGCCCATCCAGCAGATGTTGGACTCGCTGGCTTCCATAATCGCTGGAGCCAACTCCTTAAACTAAATCTCTTTCTCTATTAGCACACATCCCATTAGCTCTGCTTCTATGGAGAACCCTAATGTGTGAGGTCTGATTCTTTACTTTGGAAATTCAAATACCTAGAACCCAGGTAAGAGAAAAGATTTAGGATGCTATGACTCAGGAACTCCTAAATCTTCTCATCCCCCTGCTAAAGATTCCCTAGAGAAAATGGGGAAAAGAAAAACGGAGAGTGAGGAGAGCTTAGACTCAGGTGTTATCTTCCCTGAGGTCGTCTGCCCTGTCTTCCCCTCAAGGCCAAGCCTGGAAGGTGGATGTGGCAGTGCAGGTGGTGGTTGTGGTGGCAGAGCCCAGGGAAGTTGGAGATGTGACAACAGGGAGGTGCTGTGACCATCTCCAGACAGACAGACTGTCCTCCTCGAGAGCCATGACGGGAGCAGCAGACACGCGTGACTGGGCAGGAGGGCATGGACAGCCTCATGGAGTCACCTGCCCAGAGACTGCTTCAGAACACGACAGGGGCGCTCGGGATCCGACAGCAGCAGAGACGTGTCACAGGGAGCTGGCAGACGTGGAAAGTGCTGGTGGGTGAGCAAAAGAGAGATGCAAGGGACTTGCCTGAACTAATGACCAAAATCAGGGGAGAAGGAAGCCCGCACTGCCGGCGCATCACGGAGCATGAGCACAGGAATAGGGGCCCCTCTGCTTGTGATGTCATGCTCAGGACAGCTCAGGGCTCACACGACCCCCAGAGTGGAGGGCGTGACCCTGACGGAGCTTGAATCCCCACCAGTGGAACGGATGCGCAGAACAGAAATGAAGTCACAGAAAAAGCAGGTAACGTTTCCTGTTGCTCTACACCTGAGTTTCATGGCTGACTACCTCTGTCAGTAAGGCTGCCGCACAGAACAGAGAAAAGGTGGGCTCAGGGACAGGGACTCCAGCCCAGGCCCAGTCAGCCACAATTTTGGCAACTCACTTTTCTCCTCTGAACTCAGCTTTCTCATATGTAAAATGAAGGCGTTAGACCAGAAGTTCCCTGCAGAAGCCAGGTTTTCCTTTCCTTGACATACATTGTCAGCTTCTGCATTTGCGAATTTTCCAGCCCACAGCCAGAGCTTGACACATATCTGTTTAGGTGACATCACACAAACCCCAGAGTTCAGTGCGGAAACGACCCCTGGACCCTTGTCACCTAGCTCCGTGTCACCATTCCGGCTGCTGAGCATGTACTGGTCAGATGTCTAATGATGACACCAGCGCCTATGAAAAGTCATCACATGCCTTTCTCTGTTACGTGTGAAGAAAATATTAAAGCTTTTCCACTCATGAACTTGCAAATTATAGCTGCTTCAGAAATTAAAGAAAAATAACAGAAGGAAGAAACAAAAAAGATTCTTTCCTCCTTCCTTTGTTAGGGGAAGTGCTGACGTATTACCTCATGGACAAAAAGAGAAAAGACCATTAATTCTCCAATCAAAGGGATGGTTCCGGAAGGGCACAGATGCAGTAAACCTCACACGTTTCCATCTGTCCCCACCTGCCACATTCTAAGGCAACTTTTCCAGCGCTTACCATCACGTACCACTTATATTGCTCTGAAAGTTCTTAGCAACTTCACAAAACTCTTCAAGCACATGCCATAAAAGACATGTGTGATGTCCTGAAATCCCTCGAGAAAGACCACCAAAGACAAACCCCCTGGCCATCTCGACGGCAGCGTGTCTTGGCCTGTGGCGACGTTACAGACAATGTCCCGCCTGGGGGGAGCCTGTGTGTCGCTGAAGAGCTGACCACACAGAGCGGGCGAGGCCGCCTCCGGCAGAGCACAGTACTCCAGCAGGCCGGCTGTCCCAGCCCCCAGGAAACAGCGCCCAAGGAGCCCACCTGCACAGCAGGCCCTCAGAGCCCGGACCGTGTCCTGCGGCCGGTCCAGCTGGGCAGCCCTCCCTTCTCCCCTGCACCTGTCTGTAAGGGGTGAGACACAAGGGGAAATGTCGGAAACAAGAGCCACCGCATCTGTCTGTTAGGCATATAGGGTTACACTGGACATATCGAGGTTGACCTCTGAGGTCGAGGGCTGCGGTAGGCGACCTTCCAGGAGGCTCCCTGTGGCTCACCTCGTGGATTCCCAGTCTCTCCCTTTGGGCGACTGTCATGGGCTCCTCACCATCAGGTGTCCCAGATGAGCCCTCAGCCTGAACGACCGCCCTCCACCCTCATCTCTGGTAATGTCTGCCAGGACCCAGACTGCTCCTCCTTAACCTCAGGGCCACCATCACCCCCTTATCCATCAGGAGGGTTCATCTTTCTTAGGACTGAAGTCGGTATGCTCAGTCCCCATTTCCTTGCTGTCCATGAAAACAAGTCCCCAGGCCATGCTCACAGCTGAGAAACTAGACACTGCGAGGAGACACTTGCCTGCTTTCTAGGTGACACGTGGCCTTCAGCACTCCTGACCCCCACCTATCTCTGTACTATGCTAATCTCCTTTCAAAGAAGCCCATTACCCAGCTGCCACTGCAGCCTGCAGATGAGCGTGGGAACAGAGCGGGTCCTGTCACGGACTTCCATTTCTGAGGCTCTTCAGAACAGACAGTCTCAAAGGCCCTCCACCCAACATGGCACTCCATGCGCATTCTCCACTAAACTGCCACCCATCACGGCCATTCTGTTCTTCCCAGTAACAGCTCTTGAATTACTAGGTGTCGTGGTGGAGGACACTGGACTCCCCAATAGCAGCCATATCCCCCAGAGTCACGACAGATGAACGTGGGGCTTCACAGCCACATGGCT